CAGATTAGGGAAATTCTCAACTATGATTTGGTCAAAGATACCTTCTCTCCCTCTCTCTCCCTCTCTCTCTTTCTCTCTTTATTCTTCCTTGAGGACCCCAATCATTCTAATAGTGCTTTGTTTTATGGTAGCACTGATTTCTCAAAGCCTCCCCTCATGGACCATTAGTTGTTTTTCTATGTTTTCCTCAGTTTCCTTCCTTTCCATCATCTTATCTTCTGTGTCACTTATTTTCTCTTCTGCCTTATTCACTCTGGCTGTTAGAGCATCCATTCTAGACTGCCTCTCAGTTAAAGCATTTTTAATTTTGGCCTGATTAGATTTTATTTCTGCACAAAAAGATTCTCTGGTATCTTTTATGCCCAGCTAATAACTTCATGGTGTTTGTTTGTTTGTTTTTTCCGATTGTCTTTTTTTTTGGTTTGTTTTTATGGTGTTTTTTTTTTCCATTTGTCTTTTTTTTCCAGCTGGTAACTTCATAATCATAACCCTGAATTCCAGCTCAGACCTTTTATTTATATCCATATTAATTAGATCTATGGTATACCTCTGTTTTTTTCTTTTGTTGTGATTTCCTCCTTCTAGTCATTTTGCCCAAAAAAGACTGGATGAATGAGAGAAAAAAATTAAAAATATCAACCATGATACAAGAGAAATACACAGTAGACAAATCCAAAGAGTTCAGAAACCAAAAAAAGAGAAGAAAAAGAGAAAAGAAAAAGGGGTGGAAGGGAGAGAATATAATCTCCAAGTGAACAAAACAGGGTGATCCACTTGGTCCTGGGTCTGTTTTGGTCTCTTTGTTAGAATATACTAAATCTGGGACGCCTGGGTGGCTCAGCGGTTGAGCATCTGCCTTTGGCTCAGGGTGTGATCCCAGAGTCCCAGGATGGAGTCCTGTATCTGGCTTCCTGCAGGGAGCCTACTTTTCCTTCTGTCTGTGTCTCTGCCTCTCTCTCTGTGTCTCTCATGAATAAATAAATAAAATCTTTAAAAAAAAAAAAGAATACACTAAATCCTAAAATTGTAAAGAAAGTTTAAAAAAAAATATATATATACCGATTTTATTTGTATCAAGATAAAATTGAATACACTGATAGGAAGCCAGAAATGAAGAATTATATCTATAAAATATAAATGTAAAAATGAGAGTTAAAAATAGACTTAAAAACAAAGAGTTGATAAAATAAGAAACTAGTTGAAAAGGAAAAGAAAAAAGAAAAAAAGAAAAGGAAAATTTTAAACTGAAAGATAATAGAATCATGAGAAAAAAACCTTGAATTCTATATGCTATTTTCTCCTTGTACAGCAGTTTTGCAGTTCTGTGGGTGGAGTCTACTTTCAAAAAAAAAAACAGCTGCTGAGTTTCTTTTCTTTTTTTTTTTCTTTTTAGCTGCTGAGTTTCAAATGGAATTAAAATGGCTTAAAGATAATTCCCTACACTGACAATAGAAAATAAAGCTCTTCAAATAGAAAAATTTAGTTGTTGGAGGAGCATTCATATTTCACACGGTGATTAGAATTCGTTTGCAGAAGATTTTGTTAATTACAGGTGACTGATTTTCCCCAAGCACATAGCTGGAAGATCCCAGTCCTGTCAACACTCTGACTCCCTCCCCCCACCCCAATTCATCTCAAATTGTTGTCTAGGGTACCTGGCTGGCTCAGTTGGTTAGAGCATGCAACTCTTGATCCCAAGGTCATGAGTTCAAGCCCCCTGTTGGATGTAGAGCCAAATGTAAATAAACAAACAAACAAACAAATAAATAAAGTCATTAAAAAAATGTTTTCTAACCTTTCCCTTAATCCCTCTCATCTTGAGCTAATGAGAACTGCTTTCTCTTGTGGAAGAGATGAAGCAATCTTCTATTTTGAATTACTGAGTCGATAGATTTCCTCTTCTGTCCCTTTCTTTTCCTAACAGTTTGTTGAAGACCTCAGATGTTTGACTGTGTACCCTCCCTTCAGCCTGCAGTCTAGATTTTGCTGATTGTATATTAATAGTGTAGTTCCTCCTGCTGCATTTCCTGCATGTTGGCAGCTCAGTCCAGAGTTCTGATCAGACTCAGGTTTGATGCCTTTGGGGAGACCATATGTGCTAGTGTGTTCTTTCATTGAAGGCCCATTGTGCCTGATTGTCTCTATTGTGATGTTAGCAGTTGCTTCTGTTCAGTAAATTCTCTTGGTGTTGCAAAACAATAATATTCTAAATCTGTGATTCATTTTCATTCCTTAGCTTGAATATTTCCATAAAGAGATACTTCCCCTTATCTATTTTTCGGTTACCCAGTGCTAAGCATATATAAGAGAGCCAGGATAAGGGGTGCCTGGTTGGCTCAGTTGGTAGAGCACATGACTCTTAATATCAGGGTCGTGAATTCAAGCCCCACACTGGGTGAGTTCAAGCCCCACATTGAGTTCAAAACAAAAGAGGTTTTTTAAAAGAAGAAAGGAAGAAAGGATACATGCTTGATTCTTTCTCTTTAATGACTTTTAGGATGATTTTGCCCCATCATTATCTAAGTGTGACATTTTTTGTATTTTTTTGTATTCTTTTACAAGATGTATTTATTTGAGAGGGGGAGGGGCAAAGAGAGAGGGAGAGTACCTCAAGCAGATTCCCCACTGACCGTGGCTTGATCTCACCACCCTGAGGTCATGCTCTGAGCTGAAATCAAGAGTCAAACGCTCAGCCAACTGAGCCATCCAGCCACCCCTGAACTCATGGATTTAAACATTATTCATTTTGATGCTCAGATTATTCCAGATTTGGCCCATGAGAATCCTCCCAAGCCAACTCCTGAGTCCTTTTAACATATCCTCATAATTATTTGAGCACATCCTTTCTGGCACAGTAGGATGTTCCAGGTTCATCTTACAGTTTCTCTGCACCAGCCCTATAATCAGTCATTTCTCTGAGGAGCCTTGATTTCTTTTGGTGGAGGCTGTATTTAGGAACCAAGATTTGGTCCCTAGATGAGCTCATTACTATGGAGATGTTGCTGTTCACAAAACTCCTCAGTGGAGTGAGCTGTGCACATACACTTAACATCAGCATTTATTCCTCTACTTATCTATACGTATTAAAAAACTATAAGTTGGGACACCTGGGTGGCTCAGTGGTTGAGCATCTGCCTTCGGCTCAGGGCGTGATCCCAGGGCCTGGGGATCGAGTCCCGCATCGGTCTTCCTGCGAGAAGCCTGCTTCTCCATCTGCCTATGTCTCTGCCTGCCTCTCTCTGTGTGTCTCTCATGAATGAATGAATGAATGAATGAATGAATCTTTATAAACTACAAGTTTACACCAAAATCTCCAATTCCAGTCCAACATCACTAGGTATATTCTAATTTTCTCTTTTTCTGTGTTTATAACTCCCTTTTCTGAAAGTGAGAAACCTGGCTTCCATTAGCTTCACTATATGATTTTTAAAAATCAGTTCTCTTATGTGTGACCAGTCTCCTATCACTGCCACCATCTCCATTTGTGCACAGAATCCTTCTCCTCCTCCTGCCCAGAATTTAGTACTCCTCGATGTGCTACTGCTGCACTGTCCCACCCTGTGCCAATGCACTCCTCAGCCTGCATTGGGTCCCACAACCTATATCAGACCATCCCCTCATGATGATATTCTCCTTAGCCTATGGTGGCTCCAATGGCCCACCTCAGGTCACTGCCACTGCCACCTCTCTGCTTAGATATCTTCCTTACATCTCATGCTGGGCTACAGTGCATCCATCCCTGCCTCACACAGATGCCTACCTTGCTTGGCTCTACCTAATGGCTTTTGGACCAAATTGTTTACAAAAGGAAGGGATTTGGGAAGAGGGGGGGAAAAATATATATATATATAGTGATGTAGGGTTTGTATTTTTTTTTGAAGATTTCTTTATTTTAGAAAGAGAGCGAGAGAGCATGCAAGCCAAGGAAGGAGCAGAGGAAGAGGGAGAAAGAGTCCTCAAGCAGACTCCACACTGAGCAAGGAGCCAACTCTTAAAAAAGAGTAAAAATCTTATTTATGTATTTAAGAGAGAGCACAAGTGGGGTGAGGAGGGGCAGAGGGAGAGGGAGAAGCAGGTTCCCCGTAGAGCAGGGACCCCAAAGTGGGGGCTCCATCCCAGGACCCTGGGATCACAACCCCAGCTGAAGGCAGATGCCTAACCAACTAAACCACCCAGTTGCCCCATACCTATGTCATTCTGAGTCAGTGTTCTTTTATATGTAGTGTGTTGTTTCAATATGTAGGGTTTTTTAAATATTTCTTCTCTTGATTTACAGCTTTTAGTATTTATTTTCTTCCCCTGCTCTGATTTTCTTCTTTAGGTCTGTGATCTGTGTGTTAGAGCGCCTTATCTTCTTTACCTATCTTTAGCATTTGTCACTGTCTCTTGAGTCCTTAGTATCTTTTTGTTTATTTTCAACCTAAAATTTTTTTGGCATCCTATTTCTCTTCAGACATCATCTGTTGTATTTATTCAGTCTTATATTCTTCCTAGCCTTCATCTCTGAGATTTTTTTCTTTTATTTCCAATTCTTTCCTGAGTTTAATCACCTCATAGTTTCATTTCTTCAAATTCTGGCTTATGTTGTCCTTTTATTTCTTGTTATCATTTCCTCATTATCTTTCAGCTCATTTTGAAATAGTGAATGAGTTTATCTGTTTGTGAGCATGTCTGTCTGGCATGCTTTCCTTTCCTGTAGGGATGTTATTCTCCCTATTCTCTTTTTTCTTGAAATAACTCTGTGTGGGTTTTGCCTTGGAACCTTTTCTGTTGCTCATTTCTTTCGGAAACATTGATTTTCTTGAACTTTTAGGAGTCTCAGTTCAGGACAGCTTTTCTAACTGCATCAAGCTCCCTCTCCTGTTGTTTTTGTGGAATGCTTCAAAAACCGTGGCGGCATGCTAAGATTTCCTAGCTTGGTTCCTCTTCACTTTTATCTAGATCTTCTCCTCCTTTGCCTCTATTATCCCTGTTCTGATTGATTTTTTCTCTGCTTCCAGCTGTTTTTCCTCAATGTGTAGCACTGCCCTAGAAGGGAGCTTTGCTGGTCAGTTGGAGAGTTCCTGAAATCCAGTCTACTTCAGCCCCTTGAGACCTGGGACCCTGCCTTCTCCACCATTGGGTTGGGCATAGCCCTTCTCTGTTTCAACTCCTGTTTTCAAATTAGCCTGTTGTGTTTTCCATTTAATGCTTGCTGGCTCTTTTGGGATCGCCTGTTCTCAGGTGTGTCTGATGCCCTGTTGTTTTCCTCTGCTCCCTCCCACACAAGTAAGTAACACCTCGCAGGTCTTTGAGCCAGCGGTGGTTCTGAGACAGGGGAACTGAAGGTGATGCAGACAGGCTGAGTCCAAGGACCCACAGAAGAGGTACCACAGAACCAGCCAGGAGGATCCTTGGCTTCATGCAGAACGGAAATCAAACATGAACCAGCAGGAAGTGGAAGCAGTTTATAAAATATATATATATAATAGAGATACAGACAGAGCACCCAGAAGACTCAGAAAAGAAAAGAGAAGGGTTATAATCTTATTTGGGGTCTGAAATTTATATTGGCTATTGTAGTTTGGTGTACGTGTCCTCTTAGGCATCTGGTAACTGGTCAGAACAGGGTGGTCAGAGGCTGGGTGTCCTTCATAAGTCGCTCAATCCCTGAAGCCAGGGATTTGGTGTCAAGGTGTTTAGAGTCATTAGTCTTGGAGAATGTTCATAATGACCCCGCCCTGTCATTCCTTAGATGTTATCTATTGTACTGGAAGACTCTGAAGATAATATTATCTCTTTGTCCCTTACCAGGTGGACATGTGATATCTGCATTATAAGGCACATGTATAGTGAGGTAAGGGTCCTAGTGAGAATAGAAGCTGGAAAAGGAGCAAAGGGGGAAAAGAACAGCTTTTTTTTTTTTTTATGGGATCCCTTTAGTTTTCCTGTCTCAAAGGGATCCCATGAAAAAAGCCATTTTTTTCATTTGCTCCTTTTCCAGCTTCTATTCTTGCTAGGACCTGCACTGTTCTCCACCCTCACTCCCCACACACACAAGCCTTAATGTATGCCCTTCTGTAAAGGTCAAGGAGGGAGGGGCAGAGAGAGAAGGATAGAGAGAATCCCAAGCCAACTCTGAGCTGAGCATGGAACCCTCTGCAGGCTTCCATCCCACAACCCTGAGATCATGACCTGAGCTGAAATCAAGAGTCAGGCGCTTAACCAACTGAGCTACCCAGGCACCCTGTAAATTGCTGCAATAATTTTTTTTAAAGATTTAATTTATTTACTTAACAGAAAGAGAGAGAGTGCACAAGCAGGGGGACTGACAGGCAGAAGGAGAGGGGGAAACAGGCAGAGCAGGGAGCTGGATGCAGGACTCAGTCCCAGGACCCAGGCTCCTGCTGCAATGAATTCTTAAACTTTTATTGTTACATAGTGATGTTTTTGTTTCTATAGACTGCATCAAAAGATGCCTACCTTTATTACTTCTGTATGGATGTCATACATATAGTACATAATCCTAGATGCAGGACTCAATTCATATATGAAGGGGTGCCTGGGTGGCTCAGTTTGGTTAAGCGTCTGCCTTCGGCTGGGGTCATGATCCTAGAGTCCTGGAATCAAACCCAGTATAGGTCTCCCTGCTTCGTGGGGAGTCTGCTTCTCCTTCCCCCTCTGCTGCTACACCCAGCTTTTGCTCTCTCTCTCTCTCTGTCAAAAAAATAAATAAAAAATTTTAAGTATATATGTATATATCCATGTAACCACTATTCAGATCAAGTTATAAATCTTTCCCCATAAACCTCCCTATACCCTTTCGAAGTCAATAATCCTCCCCCACGAGGAAAGCACTCTCTTGATGTCTATTAACATAGATTTGTCTCTCTCTTCTTGAACTTCAAATAAACAAATGATGCAGTCCTCTCTTGTGCTTGGTTTTTGTTCAGCCATGTGTCTTTGAGATTCATCTGTGCTGTTGTGTGTAAGAGTAGGGGTTTTTTTCTCTGTGTGGTATTCATTGTATAAATTGGAGTCCATATTTAAATTTTATTATGATAAAATACCTGTTATAATAAAATACACGTGGGATCCCTGGGTGGTGCAGTGGTTTAGCACCTGCCTTTGGCCCAGGGTGTGATCCTGGAGACCCGGGATCGAATCCCACGTCGGGCTCCCGGTGCATGGAGCCTGCTTCTCCCTCTGCCTGTGTCTCTGCCTCTCTCTCTCTCCCTCTCTCTGTGTGTGACTATCATAAATAAATAAAAATTTAAAAAAATAATAAAATACACGTAACATAAAACCATTTCATTTTTTTTAAGATTGTATTTATTTATTCATGAGAATACACAGAGAGGAGAGAGAGGCAGAGACACAGGCAGAGGGAGAAGCAGGCTTCAGGCAGGGAGCCTGACGTGGGACTCGATCCAGGGTCTCCAGGATCACACCCTGGGCTGCAGGTGAGCCACCGGGGCTGCCCAACATAAAACCATTTTAAGTGTACAATTCAAAGGCATTAATTGCATTCACAGTGTTATGCAACTATCACCACTATCCATGCCCACTTTTTCATTACCCAAACAATCGCCACTCCCCATTCCCCTCAGATGCAGGTAACCTCCATTCTGCTCTCTGTCTTTCTGAATTTACCATTCTAGATAACTTAGAATAAGTGGCATCATACAATATTTGTCTTTTTGTGTCTATTTCACTTAGCAAAATGTTTTCAGGGTTCATCCATATTGCAGCATTTGTCACAATTTCATTACTTGTTAAAGTGGAATGATATTCCATGGTATGTATATACCACATTGTGTTTTCTCATTCATCTATTGATTGGTATTTGGGTTGTTTCCACCTGTTGGCTATTATGAATGAGCACTTTTTTTTTTAATGCATTCTGGTGGATTATTTTCTTTCTTTCTTTCTTTTTTTTTTTTTTTAAAGATTGCATTTATTTACTCATGAGAGACAGAGAGAGACAGAGAGAGAGAGGCAGAGACACAGGCAGAGGGAGAAGCAGGCTCCATGCAGGGAGCCTGACATGGTACTCCCATGTCTCCATGATCATGCCCTGGACTGAAGGATCCCAGGTCTCCAGGATCATGCCCTGGACTGAAGATGGCACTAAACCGCTGAGCCACTGGAGCTGCCCATGGTGGATTATTTTCAAAACGATTGTATTGTGGACTGAATTGTGACTGCCCCTCCACCAAAAATTTACACATTAAAACTCTAATCCCCAATGTGACAGTATTTTGAGATAGAGACTTTAAGAAGGTTAAATGAGGTCCTGTGAGAGTGGTGCCCTAATCCTACAGAACTGGTGTCTCTCTTTATATGAAGAGGAAGAGACACCAGAGACCTTGTACAGTCTTTCTCTTGTATTGTCTCTCTCTCTCCCTACATGTACAGAGGAAAGGCCATTCAAGGACGTAGCAAGAAGACAGCCATCCGTAAGCCAGGAGTAGAGGCGTTGCCAGAAACCAGCCTTGCTGGTGGCACCTTGGCCTCAGACCTCCAGTCTGCAGAACTATGAGAAAATAAAATTTCTATAGTTTAAGTCACCAAGTCTGTGGCATTTTGTTATGGCAGCCCAAATGAACTATTAAAGATTGTATCAAACTTTTACCCTCGTAAATAGTGTGTAATTAGAACGTGCCTGTTATCTCCGCACCCTCAAAACCGTTGGACATTATCAGTCTTTAAATTTTTGCCAATCTGATAGAGAAAAGTATCTCCTTGTCCTTTTAATTATTTTTTTAAAGATTTTATTTATTTATGCATGAGAGACAGAGAGAGAGAGAGAGAGAGAGAGAGAGAGGCAGAGACACAGGCAGAGGGAGAAGCAGGCTCCATGCAGGGAGCCTGACGTGGGACTCAATCCCGGGTCTCCAGGATCAGGCCCTGGGCTGAAGTTGGCGCTAACCTGCTGAGCCAACCCGGGCTGCCCTCTCCTTGTCCTTTTAACTTCCATTATGCTGATGAAGAGGGTTATATTCAAATCTCTTCTTCTATGAACTACTTCTTCATAGTCTTTACACTTTATTTTGCTTATTTGTTTCACATTTATTTATTTAATATATTATTTATTTAACAGAGAGAGAGCACAAGCAGGGGGAACAGCAGGCAGAGGGAGAGGGAGAAGTAGACTCCCCGTGGAGCAGGGAGCCCCACGTAGGGCTCCATCCCAGGACCCCAAATCATGACCTGAGCCAAAGGGCAGACACTTAACTGACTCGTTTTTTGTTTTTTGTTTTTTAAGATTTATTTATTTATTTTGGAGAAAGAGAGCATTAGCAGGGGGGGCAGAGGGAGTCAGGCAGACCCTGTGCTGAGTGCAGAGCCCAACACAGGGCTTAATCTCACCACCCTGAGATCGTGACCTGAGCTCAAACCAAGGGTCAGATGCTCAACTGACTGTGCCACCCAGGCACCCCCGCTTCAGTTTCTAAAGTTTTGATCTTTATTCTCTGGGTTTTGTTTTTATATGTGATATGAGATAATGTATCTAACCTGATTTTCTTCCAGACGAATACACAGTTATTCCCATACCACGTACAACTAAACATCCTTTTCTTTTGTCAACCTTTGTGAAATAGTAAGTCCTTACTTAAAATCTGCTTGTAGGTGTTGTTCTAGTGATCCATCGCACAGTTATGTTGTAATAAGTTTTAACATTAAATAAGGCAATAACCCTCCAAAAAAGTTTTTAGAACTTTCTTGGCCATTCTTGTACATTTATTCTTCCACATGAACATTAATTTCTTCCATTTCTTCAAATCCATGGGGATTCTTAATGGAAAATAATGATTAATTTGAGAAAGTTCATCATTTTTTTTAAAAGATTTTATTTATTTATTCATGAGAGACAGAGGGGGGGGGCAGAGACACAAGCAGAGGGAGAAGCAGGCTCCATGTAGGGAGCCCGATGTGGGACTCGATCCTGGGTCTCCAGGATCATGCCCTGGGCCGAAGGCAGGCACTCAATTGCTGAGCCACTCAGGCGTCCTGAAAAGTTTAGCATTTTATATTAAATTTTCCCATCTAGAAATAAGGTTTACCTTTTCATAGAGTAAGTTATTGATCTTTAAAATAAGAGTTCATCTTTTCCTCATCTAGATTGTGGACTTTAAATGATTACTTTTTACTAATTTTGTCAACATAATTCACTGTATAAATAAAGGGAGAGAGCCCATATGATTGTATCCAGCAGATGACCCCAAAGAAGCACTTTCTAAAAATCAGCAGTCATTTGTAATAAAACTGTATGCAAAATAGGAATATAAATAGAAGTCCTAAACATAGCAATTCCTATTTTCCAAAAGCCAACAACAAACATACTAATTGCTAAAAATTCAAATCAGGATTATAAAGAAGCTTGCTGTTACCATAAATATTCAACATTATTTTGAAGATTTAATCTGATTTATTTATTATTTCAACAAATGTTGAATATTTGCTATAAACTGTTTTACATACAACAGTCTTTATAAAGTGGTGAATGAAATCCTTGCCTTCATGGAGCTTTCACCTGAAGGTATAAGACAAGAAAGTGGAAAAAAGTGGCATAGATATTTGAAAAGATGAAATAAAATTATTTATACTTATAAATAATGATTGGGGGATCCCTGGGTGGCGCAGCGGTTTGGCGCCTGCCTTTGGCCCAGGGCGCAATCCTGGAGACCCGGGATCGAATCCCACGTCGGGCTCCCGGTGCATGGAGCCTGCTTCTCCCTCTGCCTGTGTCTCTGCCTGTGTGTGTGTGTGTGTGTGTGTGTGTGTGTGTGTGTGACTATCATTAAAAAAAAAGTATTAAATAAATAAATAAATAAATAAGTAAGTAAGTAAATAAATAAATAAATATTGGTTGGGATTGGAAATCCCAAGAAACTAAAAACTAAAGGATTTTTTGGGAATTTATAG